GTCCGGTATACATTTGCCTGGTATACCCTACACTGATGTTTTTTAAGGTCAAGTGCCACTGCCCGGTATAAATTTGAACCTTATACCTTATATTGATGCTTTTTTAAAGTCAAGTGCCATTGCCCGGTATATATTTGCCCGATACTCTAAACACTGATGTTTGTTCTAACCTATCATCAGTAAGTATTAAAATATCGAATAAATGTAATTATATCCTTGAATAAATTAATATCAAATCGGATGTAATAAATATTTCGGACATTCACCAAAGCGACTAATTTGATTGTCAACATTCACTGGTGAAAGTCAGCAACCACCGATTTCGGTCATTCACAGTAACATGCACATCATTTACATAATAACCTAATCAGGACGATTATTTCATACTTAGTCTAAATAGCATCCGGCATTTCAAAAAATAAAAATAATTGGTTTTGTTGGCGATGATCTCCTAAGGCAATAAAGAATCATGCATAGTACAGGTAAGGAAGATATTAACCTCGAAGAAAAAGTGGATGAATACCCCAAGGAAAACTCGAAAACACCACCTGCATTAAGCCATCTTTCTTTTCTGTAATACATCTTAGTATTCAGATTGCACGGACTGAACAAAATCTCTGAGAAAGCCCTCCTAATCGAATAGTATTAACAAGCTTTACTACTGCATCATGTACGGGTTTCATATTCAAAGCAGATTTACACTGAGTATCTTGATGCACAACACAATGTAGAAAAATGACGTTATTTCCGGAATAGTTCTGATTAAAGAGTTCAAGGAATCTAAATTTTTTTCTTGCCATATTTGGGGCACCAACAGTCGTAATATTACATATTTTTGTTAAGGGCACTTTCAAAGTTAAAAGCCCTTCCTGAAACTCAGGAAAAATATCGCTATCCGTTGTAGTTCTCTTTAAAGAAGGCACGCTCTCCAGTTTCTCGGTAATTTCTAACTTCTCTTATAAATAATACTAATTGAGCAGTATAATTTATATCAGTGCTTTTATCCATAGTTATTGTGCAAAATTTAAATTGTGTAATTTTTGACTCTAATTGTGATGTCAAATTTTTATCGCTGGATTAGATTCTGGAAGTCACCAAGTTTTCGCGGTAAGTTTACAGCCTAAAAATTACTTTTCATGTCTGGACATAAAACACCAAGAACTTGGAGCATACATTGTTTGACAAACTCTCCATTACCGAGAGATTTATTATTTTTTATCAATAATGTATGCTACAATGTAACTTGCACGTGTAGCTGCGTTTTGGACACCATTTGCTACATGACGAGCAATTCACCTATATTAGATTCCGTATGTTTGCTCCTCGAGAAAGACAAACTCGTTGGCGTCAATCTACTTCTTCTTCCAACATTTTACGAATTGAAGTTGTCTATTTCCATCAATTTATATTTTGTAGAATGAAAATAGAGAGAGTAAAAAGGATATCAGTACTTTGTTAAAGAAGAAAGAACAAAAATAGCTTTAAACAAAATAGACAAGAAAATGGATGTATATAGTATATTGTTTATATTCGCCAAATAAAATCAAGTTAAAATTCTTTCCACGGACCGAATATAACCTTCCGGCTTGTCACAATTGGCCCGCCGGCCATAGTTTGCTCATCCCTGACTTAAACTGCAAATATGAAAGAAAATAAAACATATATGAGTTCACTATCCTTAAAATTTTTAACTTCTGAATACATTTTCGTATTTATTTCTTTAACCACATTGAATGCGATGTATGCTATTGGTGTGAAATTTCTTTGGTGGAGTTAATATAGTTGAGTGAAATATGTAGTATAAAAATTTATAGTACATAATTGCACACTTTTTGAACAAAACATTAAATCCTTATTAGTACATGATATGAGCAAAATTTTAAGATAGTGGAGCACGTTATATTTCTTCTCCAAGAAACTAGAGTGAATAAAGGTCATAAAAGAGGAATAGATTTAATGCGTTCAGGAAGGTGATCTATGCCTGATGATGCGATTCTCTTTCTCAGCCCACGTTATCATGTATGAGACTCCAGCAGCCCATGATCACATTCATGGGATTTAAATTTGAAACATTTTATTTCACTTTTTTAAATGATACCAGATGACGGTTGAAGTCAGTTATAATTTTGATTAATGTCTCACAGAAATATAACCTTAAAATTTGCTTCCAGTTCCAAATATTTTCTTTATTTGATCCAGGGTATCTAAAAAAAAGCAAACAGTTGCGCGTGTTCGGCACTTTCGAAAGGATTATTAGATTTTGTACGTGAATTACTGTGTCCTGGGTTTTTATTTATATTTTAACAGAGTTAGAGAAGAATGGAATGCTTATAATCACACAGATGTGATTTAAGTTTGGAACGTTTTATTTAAATTTTTAAACGGCACCAGATGGCGGTTGAAGTCCGTTATAATTTTGAGTAATGTCACAGAGGAATTTCGCCTTAAAATCTGCTTTCGGCTCCTCATATTTTCTTTATTTGATCCGGGGTATTTAAAAAAGGAAACAAGCATCTGCACGTGTTTTTCTTTCGAAATGATTATCGGAGTTTCCCCCTTGAATTACTGTGTTGTGGGTTTTATTTATATTTTGATGGAGTGAGAGAAGAATGGAATGCCTATCAGTTACAGAATCGTCATTTGCAATTTGATGTTCGCTGGATAGGGTCTGATTTGCAAATATTATTATTTTTAAATATTTCGAACATTTCATTTCATATCAGGTAATAATCAAAAGAACTGTAAATTTTAGAGTATTTGATTGCAATAACGTTTTTACATGAATGCTTGAATGAAATTAGGCTTAAATAGAAAAATCGCCTCTTTCCGATTATACTTATACTCTCGGAGCATGCACCTTTTTTCTCCTTTCGGTGCTATCTAGGTAAGTCAGATATTGTTTCCTATGTATTTTTTTACGTTTTATTGAATAAATTGAATCGAATGGAGACGTAAGTTGATATGCATAAAACCCATATGCACCTCAATATTAATGCAAATCCAGTATTCACCCGTCATCCATATTAAAGTACTATATTAAAGTAGTACAGGAAACTAAGTTACAGGAACTAAAAATGCAGGAGTTGTTGTTGAAAACTGCAAGAGGAACTTCACACGATGGTCGTCCCCTTAAACTTCATGAACTATATCGGCATACTAAAGCGGGCATTTCTTAAGGACTACCACTTCATATTATCAACAGTGAGTTTCAACAGGTAACAGGCGTTACTGTACATCATAATACTTTGCGAGATCTACAAGCTTACAAAGAACTGCACCCCCTTAATACCCATGGAAGTGTTGCCGCACGTAAACCCAATATCGCACTGTCCAATAAAGTAACTAGGCTTGATTGGTGCAGACAACGTTGCCACTGGATTGTAGACTAATGGAAAACTGTTTTATGGAGCGACGAGTCTCGCTACAAGCTCTTCCAGTAGGATGGAGTGGTATCATGAAGTGGATGCAAAACGTTTTTCTTGTTCTGCTCAGAGTCTTGACTTAAACTCTGTAAAACATTTGTGGGACAAATTAGAGTGACGTTTAAGGTCGCAGTCAAACGCGTCCAAAATCTAAAGCACAGCTGACTGCATTCTTGCAGCAGGAATGAAAGCAAATGCCTACAACTGTATATTTAAATATTGTTACAAGCATGCCTAGAAGGCTTAATAGTGGCATTGTAACACATGAAGGACCAATTCATTTTTAAAGTATATTTAAAAGGCTTTTTCCATATACAATCACGTCTTGTTGCCCGGTTATTTCAGGGTAGTGTAATTTGCATTACAACAAAATGAGATTTGTGGAAAGACCCAAATGATTTTGAACTTTCGTTTAAAAAGTACAAAATTGCTTGACACTTTTTACATTTTTAAGATATTCAAGTCAGCCTTTTTTCCCTTGTAGCCAAGTACAAAATCGTACAATTTTTTTCCCTCCCATGCGCAACATAAAAGAGCTAATTTGAATGCTCATACCTTGAGCAGTTTTTAACGAAGTTTTTTCATATTTTAAAGCAATAATTGCTCCTAAATTTTTGTTTAATTTTATTGAATGTTTTTAAAGTTATAACGAAAGAAAAATGCAAGACAAAAAAATTCAATATCTCTATGAATATTTAAGCTAGGTTTACGAAATTTCATGAAGTTATTGCAAATAACATTCAAAATAATTAATACAAAATACAAGCTTAGTATTTGATTTTCTGGTATAGGTGTAAAAAATACTTGTGTAAAAATACAAGCTATTTTGAAAATTGCAAGAAACTTTTACAATATTCAAATTGAAATTTTTTCATAAGATACCAAATACGATTTAAAAAGAAAATTATAAAAGAAATTAAATATTTTCTGCGCATGCGGAAAAAGAAAGGATTATTTTAAACATTCATATTGTGCTCAATTTTTAACAATTTTTTTCTTCAAAAATTAAAATTTTGTTTTTATTTTTAATTAAAAATTTCCTTAAAAAGTTTAATTTCATTAAATACTTTTGCAGTTATAGTAAGAAAGCGTGAGGCAGAAAAAAAAAGTTTTTTTTTTTATAAAAATGTCCCCATCTTCATGAATATTTAAGGTAGGCTTACATAATTTTGCTTATTTATTGCTGATAATAACCAAAGTAAATGCTATGGCCACACATTCATCGCTATAGTTTTTTTGCATTGGGTGTTCAAGAACAATTCTTTTTCGTTTGGAATTTGTTGTCTTTCCTTCAAACCACTAAAAATGTAATTTTTTATTTATTTGCATGAGAAATCGCTTTAATAAAGTCTACTTAAGTTTTAAAATAATTCTCTAAGTATTTCGTGAGAAATATGAAAAGAAGAATTAGAATAGAAGTGTTTCTATAATTTAGTACAACCCATGTAAATATGCAACAATTTTGGGTATCAACATTAAAAGAGTTGCCGGTTTGCTGATTCAGACATTTGTGTAATGTTATATTTCGAAATCATTCTTAGTGTTAATAAATGCTTTTATTATATATTTGTAGAAGTGCTTGAAGAAGAAAAATTATGTTGGGAAATGTTGTCTCAAAATGTAAGTTAAAAAAAGCAATTTTCTTTTTGAAATTTCCTACTTTAAAAAAAAAAAAAGAAAAGACGTAGTTTAGTATAAATCAAAATGTCCCGCAGTGGACTGATCGTTAAGACACGGTTCCCAGCAGATCACCGATGTCAAGCATCACTGACTGCGGTCAGTGTGCGGGTGGGTGACCACTTGGATCAGTCTGCGTAGGGACCGAGGGTGTGCGGTATGGGTCCTCGTTAAACTGTGCTACCGTAAAGTGCTCGACTTCGCGCGCAGGTCGTCGGGCTACCGAAGCGGGGGTGCCATCCCCTCCGCAGAGGATCAAAATTGTGATGGCATGTCTTTGGATCATCCTCCGGGATGTTTCCCAGACCGTCGCCAATAGCCCATTGTGCAGCTCTAGTGCGACGTAAATTAACAACAACAACAAGTATAAATCAATTGTAATAGTAAAACTGTTAAATAAAAAAAATATTTCTAATTCTTTAAATTTTATTCTTCTTAATTTAGTTCATAAACATAGAGACCCCAAAAGCATGATTTTTTAAAACTAGATAACAAACAAATAAAATTATTACTAAAAAAATTAAGATGCAATTCTGATATAAATACATGAAAATCTGACCATTAGATCTAAAATTGTTCAGAATGTTTAATTTTTTTTTGCAGTGTGCAGGGAAAAAATATGGAACATCCTGAATAACTTTTTATCTAATGATCGGATTTTTATGTACTGGGGCTCAAACTTAGTAGATCATAGGGAAAGTGAACTTAAATATACTAACTAATAAGTACAGACGATATTTTAAGTTACGAAATCAAATACAAAAACGTACTTTCTCTTAATAAACATACCATTTTTAAACGGATTTTTGATTCCCCCCCCCCTCAAAAGCGTAGCCGCAATCTTGAAAATAATTACAATGATTTTGCTAGTTGAGCTGTTGAAAAATTAGATCCCCCTTATGTTAATAATAGTTTTCTCTTAGAGCCTCTTCATTATTTTTTGAAAGTTTTTACATACTAAAAATTATATTGCAGCTCTAATCTTTAATGTAATTTCCATTAGCTTTCAAACTTCATGAATATTCACACATGTTAAAATTCAAGTTAATTTCTATCTCTTTCTTGATTGAACATAATTCTTTACTAAAATCAGATTTTAAAAATGAAGTGCATTTTTAAATAAGAAATATTTATCTGTATACAATTATAATGTTTAGTTGTTTGATTCCTTTAAAGTAAAGTTGCAATAAAAATCACTAAAAATGTAAAACTATTAGTCCCTTTTTTTGTTGCTTCGTTTCGAGTACCTTACCATTTGATTACGATTTAGTAATGATAATTCATGATGAAAATGTTGCATCGCTAGTTTCAACCTAATCTATATATATAAAAGTGAATGTGTGTCTGTCTGTTTGTCTGTCCTCTATAGACTCCTAAACCATCCGACAGAAAGCTATGAAACTTGGCATACAGATAGTTCAAAGCACGAGGAAGGTTTCTGTAAAAATCATTATTTCATAATGGTAATCAGCACAGTAAGCTACACGGTTACAGGACTTAGGGCCAAAAGCTTTCAAGCACTAGCAAAAGCACTTTCAGGCACAAGCATATTAAGTAACGGGAAGTAGGTTAATCACGTTTCGTCTTCATGAAAATATATATTTATTTAAAGTTATACACACAGATAGGCTTGTAGAAACACGGCTTTATAAGCATTGACAAAATTTCGCACAAACTTATTAATAATTAGTGTTGAAATAATACAAATGAAAAATATCCAATTTGGAATTTTTTGATTTATTAATATAATCGTAAAAATTGTGGACAAAATGTTTCCTTTTAATGTTACTAGAGGGCTCTGTTGTGAGTAGGGAGAAAAGAAACTTTGGAAAAAGCATTTTGATGATGTCACAGTTTAGTAACTTAAGTGGTTTTTGTTCGTGAGTTCAGATTTAAATGTTATATTAATTCTAATGTCAAATACGCCATAATTTTTTGCGCACTATGAAAAATTTTATTTTTTTAATTGGTTAAAAATTTATCGATATTAATCATAAAATTACACTGAATTTTTTTTTTAATTTTTTTTTTTATATAAAATAAATATTTTACCTCTTTTTATACTGTAAAACCAAAAATGTTTCTTTAAAATTTCTAGATATAAATGGAATGAATTTGAATATTATCAATATCACCAAGCTTTCCCAATACTAGTTAAATACTGGTCTCAGTTTTACCATGAATATTTACTAGCCTACAGTGAGTTGGATATGTCTTAAAGAAGAAAAAAACATTATTCCTTTTAAATCAATTTTTTCTAAGATCTCTACATTTTCTTAGACAAATAAATTTCAAAAAAAAATTCTATTCGAATAAGAATTATTCTAGTAAAAAATTCTAATTTTGAAGGCGACACTTTAAGTTTTAATTGCTTCTTTTCTATCTTTTCAGTTATGGTCTAAGAACTGCTTCCTTAGGAGACTATTTTTTTTCTCTTACATTTTACTTACATTATTAATTTTATTCAGTCATTTGTTAATTGGCGGGTGAAAATATTTTTCCATGGGGAACTTAAAAATCTTTTCAATCTGGTTTGAAAGGAAAAGTAGTAGAATCGCATTTAAAACCTTTTTTTTTTTAAATTTTTTATTTAG